CCCCCAAGAAAGCTCCTGGCAAACGTCGAGCCAGATACACCAACGCTACAAGGAGGAGGCAACCTAGGAATGCAGCAAAGACATTTTCACATAGTACTCCTGCAGTGCACTGAGCTGCACAGGCCAAGTACCAGCAAGATCACCCTGAGGTGCTCAGAACAACACAGTCTCCATATGAGCAAAACAATCCAGGAACACACGTAGACAGGCCATCACTTTCGTGGAAGGTAGCAGGAGTTGACCTAACAGACAACTGCTTCTTAAATGGACAGTTCTATGTGGCCTGCTCCAGAGTGAGCTCACAAAACAGCCTGGTGATCCTAGCACCTGAGGGCAGAACCACCAATGTGGTCTAGAGAGAGGTCCTTCAGTAGAGAGGGAGGAAAAGTACGTATGTCTCACTTCATTTCTTACTCTACAATCTTCTCCATTAGAATTCCTACAACAAATGTCACATTTCAAATTTCACATCATCAGTATTATAACTGGATTCACGGAACTTAAACACCGTAGCAAAGCATGGGTATCAGACTAGTAAATAATAAATACAGCACAAGATGGGGAGGCGATAACCAGTAAGTTGGTGAAAGGCTGAGAAGGCGAGAATGAGGACGGGAAAGGGGAGAAGATACGGGGGATGCCAAGAGGAGGAGAAGAGTAAAGAGGGTTGGGGGGGGGAGTGAGGTGCCCCCCCCAGTCCTTGAAGGTTCCCTACCATGCAGGTTGGCTTGGCCCAGTAGCCGGCACACAGAACTGGGCCATAGCTTTCCTAAATCTAGGTTGGCAGTTGGATAGGAAGGAGAGAAGGAAGCATGAAACGAGCAGGTGCTATGGAGTCTTTCAGGAAAGGGAAAATATGAAATAGTAGGGGAGGGAGATGCTTCCCATAAGTCTTTGCAGGTTCCCATTAGTACATTTTCCCTTTCACCCCAAATTAATCCTATTGCCAGAGTGCTTTGGGTTTCAAATACGTGAGACCCCAAAAAGCTTACAGCAGGGTATACTGGGGAGGGATTAGGGTTGAGAAATGCCTCCCTACAACTGCTTGTCAGATAAACATGTTTCTGAATTAAGGACGCCGGCTGGTCACACTCTGGTTATACCAGTAGGAGAGAGGCTGCAGATATCTGTTACCCTACCAACTTGTGTATTCCTTCATAGAATTTGGGAAAGGAACAGTTTTTGCCAGTTTTGAAGATGTCAGAGTTAGAATGACAGACAACCTGAAGTAACAAGTCCTTTCTTTGTGTAACTACCTTCTCAGCCTTTCTGAACCGCCAGCACAGGGACATTTGAAGAACCTGATCAGAACCAGATATAGGAAAGTTTCACCCTTGTATACATTCTCTGAAGAACCTGAAGATCTGATCTGTTCCTCAAACTCTTTCCACACTCTGAGTATTTATAACATTTCTTTCCTGTTAGCATAACGTCTCTGTGCAGATTCAAGATTCTTACAGCAGTTTATATTTTTTCAGTGCTTTGAATGGTGTTGGTTGTCTTTTAGGTTTGAAATAGGAGAAAAGCTCTTTTCACGGCTAAGCAGTTACATTGTTTCTCCTTGTGTGGGTTCCTCATTGCAGTAGAAGAGTGTAACTCTCTTTCCACGCTTTGAGCACTCAAAAGGTTTCTCCCCTGCGTGGGTTCTCTGATGCTGTAGAAGATTGCCACTCACACTGAATCTCTTTCCACACACTGAGCACTGCAAAGGTTTCTCCCCTGTGTGGGATCTTTCGTGATTCTGTAGAGTGCCACTTTGACTGAATCTCTTTCCACACACTGAGCACTGCAAAGGTTTCTCCCCTGTGTGGGATCTTTCGTGATTCTGTAGAGTGCCACTTTGACTGAATCTCTTTCCACACACTGAGCACTGCAAAGGTTTCTCCCCTGTGTGGGATCTTTCGTGATTCTGTAGAGTGCCACTTTGACTGAATCTCTTTCCACACACTGAGCACTGCAAAGGTTTCTCCCCTGTGTGGGTTCTTAGATGCTCTTGAAGGCAGCCACTATGACTGAATCTCTTTCCACATTCTGAGCATTCAAATGGTTTCTCCCCTGTGTGGGTTCTTCGATGCAGTTGAAGATTGCCACTTTGACTGAATCTCTTTCCACACTCTGAGCATTCAAAAGGTTTCTCCCCTGTGTGAGTTCTCTGATGCTGTTGAAAGTGGCCACTCAAACTGAAACGCTTTCCACATACTGAACATTCAAAACGTTTCTCCCCTGTGTGCGTTCTCTGATGCTGCTGAAGAGTGCCGGTCCGACTGAATCTCTTTCCACACTCGGAGCATTCAAAAGGTTTTTCCCCTGTGTGGGTTCTCTGATGCTGTTGAAGAGTTCCACTCTGACTGAATTTCTTTCCACATACTGAGCATTCAAAAGGTTTCTCCCCCGTGTGGGTTCTTCGATGCTTCTGAAGACTGCTACTCTGACTGTATCTCTTTCCACACTCTGAGCATTCAAAAGGTTTCTCCCCTGTGTGGGTTCTCCGGTGTACTTGAAGATGGTCACTGGTATTGAATCTCTTTCCACACTCTGAGCATTCAAAAGGTTTCTCCCCTGTGTGGGTTCTCCGGTGTACTTGAAGATGGTCACTGGTATTGAATCTCTTTCCACACTCTGAGCATTCAAAAGGTTTCTCCCCTGTGTGGGTTCTCCGGTGTACTTGAAGATGGTCACTGGTATTGAATCTCTTTCCACACTCTGAGCATTCAAAAGGTTTCTCCCCTGTGTGGGTTCTCCGGTGTACTTGAAGATGGTCACTGGTATTGAATCTCTTTCCACACTCTGAGCATTCAAAAGGTTTCTCGACTCTGTGTATTCTTTGGTGTACAAAGAGCTGTGATCTGTTTCTGAAGTAGTTATCTCTCTGAATGGATTTACTTGCCTTCATTATCCTGTCCTTGGGAATATGTACATTATGCTCTCTTCCATCTCTCTTCTCAACCATATGACAACTTTTCTTTCTCATCGGTCCGCCTCGATTTCTGACATTTTCTTTCAAGTCTCCATTTTTAACTTCATCTGGCATTTGTTGATGAAGTTCCTCAACCAGATCATCCTCTGCTGGAAAAAATAGAGTGATCCTGTTAGCACCTGGGAGGGCAGGTAAGGTTGAAAGGCATCTACGTGACTGCAGGAGACGGCCCTTTGGCCTTGTCCAACTTGGCTGATCTTAACCACCCGTCTACCTTCCCCCCCCCAGAATATCTCGTATTTAAGGATACCTCACCCCCTCAAGTGCCACAGCTGAGCGCTTGCCCACAAGGACCTTCTGAGTCTCCAGATTTCAGGCCCTCCCTCCTTCCCCAGCGGGCTGTATGATTGTACGAAATGTTGCTCTGAAGTGAATCAGAAATCCCACATGGCACTTTCTTGCCTTTTCCCATGACATAACTGTGAAGGATACTCACTCTCAGCCAACTCATTTGGGAAGGAAATATGTTCTTGGGATCCTCTTGGGGAAATCCCCAGCCTTTCTTCGGATGCAAGGCCGTTGTCTAACTCCACTGTAGTCTCTCTCATATGCCTGCCTTGGTTTGCAGAGAGACAGAGAGGGAAACTGATCATTCTTATAAGGGGAAGGAAAGAAATTCAAGAGTAAAAATTCTTCTAGAAGGATGAAACCGTGGTCAAGACCAAAGCCCACAATGCCAACCAGCATCAGGGGAATAGATTTGTGTGGCAAAGCATCCTAGTTTCCCCAAGGTTTTACGTGATTATTAAGTGGTCTGGTCCTAGTTGCAGGTGTTTGTGATTGAGTCCTCCTGCAGCTAACATCCTTATTTTTTATCAAGGCTGGACTCAAGAATGCAGTCATTAGTTAATAGTAATTGCTTAACTTGTATACAGTTGTGTAGCCAGGAGGGAGGGGGGATTAGGAGGGTGCTGACAGTCTCTGGAAAATTCCATCAAGGAGGACCCTTGACTGAGTCGTTAGGACCACCTGATCCTAAGTATAATACATGTATAGACAAGAGGGAAGGCAGGCTAACTTTATGATCATGCCATGCTAATGTGTCTTGATATTTTCTTGCTGCATCATGATAAATAGTCTTCTGTAAAGTAACTTAGGCTACAGCTGGAATACTTGTGCTGCAACAAGAGGTGCTTTCTAATACCAGGTATTGCATGTAATTACATAGAACACTTCGCTTTCCTTGTTTTTTCTGTAGCTGAGCTGCAGCAACGTGGCTGTTTAATGATGTTTTATTTTTAAATCCTTAAGAACCCTTTATACATTTAAAAATGAGTCTGCTTTGCTTGTGTGCTCTCTTTCTCATGAACCCACTGGACTGGGTGCTGCTCAGGTACAAAGAGTAGTGACCCAGGGAGATTGCAGCTTCCAGGTCACAGGCAGAGTGGATGTCTGTGATCCCATTCAGGGGGAAGGGTGTGTTGCAAAGGCTGGCAACAGAGAAATGAGGATCTGATCCCTTCCAGAGTCCTTCTGAGGGCCTCCCATCCCTACCTTTGCCTCAGGCCAGGACACCTTCTCTGGCTTGGGTGATGGCCACAACACTGGCCTCTGCTGCCCCAGGGCAAGAACACACCCAGAAACACATGAACCTGCCTCATAACTGAATCGGACCCTTCGTCCATTGAAGTCCGTGTTGTCTACTCAGTCCGGCAGGGTCTCTCCAGGGTCTCAGGCAGAGGTCTTTCACATCACCTCCTTCCTGATCCTTTTCACTGGAAATGCTGGGGATTGAACCTGGGACCTTCTACATGCCAAGCAGATGCTCTGCCAGGGAGCCCCCCCCCCCCAAGTAGTAGTATTTTGATTCATGCCTCCTCACAATGGTAGCAATTTGTACCTTTGGCACCAAGGAAAGATCCTTACCCAGAAAAAACACATTCTCATATTTCTCCAGCATGACCTCCCTGTACAGAGCTCTTCGTCCCGGATCCAGCAGGGTTGATTCTGCCTCAGTGAAGTCGATGGACACCTCCTCAAAGGAAAAGGGACCCTGAAAGAAAAGGCAGATGCCCTCGTCAGAGATCTTCACCTCCACTGTATATTCGTCAGGGGTGTGATCTAGGTCAAACCTGAATGGCCTAGTGGTTTTCCCAACTTTCTTCAGTTTAAGTCTGAATTTTGCAAGGAGTAGCTCATGGACGGAGCCACAGTCAGCTCCAGGTCTTATTTTTACTGACAACTATGGTCTCTCTCTATTGAATCAGTCGCTCCCTTGCCAGTCTCCACCAAACCAATTAAACAGCTAAAGGGGAATGGGACATGCTGCAAAATTAGTTATAGCAAAACAGTGGAAAGCAGAACACATTGTTTCTTTAACTTTTTGGTTTGAAAATATATGGCAATTATACTTAATGGATAAAATTAAGTGGTCTACTACAAATGTATCTTATGAAAAATGTAAAATAGACTATTCTGTTTGGTTACCAATACTGGAATCTTTACAGTCCCAAATAGAAATATCAGAAGTTTAACACGACTGACTTAAGTTAAAGATTTGATATGGATATGACATGATAATTAACATTTGTTACTGTATTGTTGGTTTAAAATTTATTGTTTAACAAGTTTAAAATTAATAAACTATATTTAAAAAATAAATAAAGGGGAATGGGAGGGTCCCAGGGAAATACTCCGGGGGTCCCAGAATACCTTAGCATTAATCTCTCCTACCTGTACAGGAGGTACGGCAGCCATTTCCACACCAGTGAAAAGATGACGGCTCAACAGCATCTCTTCACTGCCTGTTCCTGAGACAAAGGAGGAAGGAAGGGTGCTTGCTTGCTTGTTCCCTGTTTCCAACAACCCCTTCCCTGTGTACACTCAACACTTTTTAAAACACTTTTTACTGAATTCTGGGAGAGGCAGAAGAGAAGCATATGGTACCGATGATTATGCACGAGGCCAACTTATTTCAGACTTCTGTGAGACTTGTGTTTGCTCTGCGGGGAGGGAAAGACATTGCATGACACGTCGCCGTCCCATTCGGACCAGACGGGACTTGAATGCACCTGGAGACTCGAGGTTAATATGAGTGAGTTTTCAGAGTGTCTCTTTGGCAGGCTCACTTCCCAACCAGGTTTTCAGCCAGACGGAACATCAACAAGAGATAGTGGACGCTGAGTGCCACAAATTAACTCTTTGTTGTGTGTAGAACAATTTATTTTTCTCCTGACCTCAACTCTTTACCCGTCACATTCATGGGGTGCCCCAACTGCATGCAGGCACAAGGGGTCCTTACCAAAGGAGAGGGGATCTTGGGCACGCTCCATGGCCTGCGCCCCCTGCCCTTGCTCCAAGGAAGCTCCTTCCGCCTCAGGGAATGTAGCTTCCATCTTCAGGGATGGTCCCCACATCTGAAACAGCAGCAAGGGAGAGGGGAAAGATATGGAATAGAAAAGAGACCAAGGAATGGATCCTGCCCCACTCCCAGACTCTGCACCCTTCCATCAGCAGGCCTGGTGAGTTATCTGGAGGAATCAGAAATTCTCTCGTAGAAGAGGCTCCTGAAAGAGGCCATGAAATCTCCCACTTGGATGATTAAAACTTGGGCAATTATCTTGTAGGGAACCATTAGAATCAGGCCCGATATTGTTCCTTAAATTGAACATACCTCACCTGTTCTGCCTGCCTCTTCTCCTCTTGCCTGACTCAGGAGGAAACCTTCCGCCAGGGCCATCGCCTGGGAACTGGTCTCTGGCCCACATCCTCTGACCCAGCACTGGGTCAGTCCAGAAGCCCCTGTGCTTCCACCACCATGGGAGGGAGGGGGTCACGTGGAGGTTTTTATACCCCAGTTCTCTGCCTTAAGGCATCTCAATGCGGCTCACACCCCTCTTCCTTTACCCTCCCCACAACAGGCACCTTGTCAGGTAGGTGGGGCTGAGAGTGTTTTGGGAGAGCTGGGACTGGACCAAGGTCATCCAGCAGCTTCACGTGGAGGAGGAGTGGGGAATCAAACCCAGCTCTCCAGATTAGAGTCCCTCACTCTTCACAGTGAAGCAGGTGTTGATTTCCTGCCAGGGAGCGTTTCTCCCCTGCTCTGATCAAGGGGGTTCCACTTGGCTTTGTACCTCTGAACCTCCCACCTTCTGGCTGGAAGAGATCAGGGCACAGGGTTCTGGGATCTCAGAAACTAGAAACCCCCTCGCCCCAACCACGTGTTACCTTGATCTGTGCCCTTCATGGCTTATAAAAGCTGGTCACTGGGGGCTACGAGGTGCCCTCAGGGACATTATCAACAAGTCCTTCACTGAGGGGCTTTCCCCAGGGGCACTCAAGGAAGCGATGGTCCGCCCTCTCCTGAAAAAAACATCACTGGATCCAGCCGAATTGGCCAACTATTGGCCGGTTTCCAATTTGCCCTATTTGGGCAAAATACTGGAGAGAGCGGTGGCGGTTCAATTGCAAAGCTTTATGGATGACACTTCCATGCTGGACCCGTTCCAGTCCGGCTTCCGGCCGGGTTATGGGACGGAGACGGCACTGGTCGCTCTCACAGATGACCTCCAAAGGCATCTGGATCGAGGCGGTACAGCAGTGCTGGTGTTGTTGGATCTGTTGGCGTTTGACACCGTCGACCACCAGTTACTGACTCACCGTCTCGCCGACACTGGAATCCAAGGGCTTGCCCTGCAATGGCTCGCCTCTTTCCTCCAGGGCCGGGGACAGAGGGTGGCGCTAGGGGAGCAAACGTCACAGAGGCACCCACTGGTGTGTGGGGTGCCGCAAGGGGCGGTGCTATCCCCGATGTTGTTTAACATCTATATGCGCCCCCTCGCCAAGATTGCGCGGAGGCACGGGCTGGGGTGTCACCAGTACGCTGATGCCACCCAGCGATATCTGTTGTTGTGCGGGCGGTCCGGCTCTGACCCAGATGACCTGGAGTGGGCGCTTCAGGATGTAGCGGGCTGGCT